AACCCTTTGATGTGATAAGCTACAGCATAGTCTGGACACTCTTCACTGACAAGACTGTCATAACCATTACTGACCCAAATACTGGGAATAGCTAAATTATCACAATGTTTGAATGGGTGGCATTTGCACCAAATCCAAAAGTTCCCAAAGTTCATCCTGACCAATGATCCTGAAAATCAGTGTTCCTTTTCTCCCCATCAATGATGAGAATTCAGATGATCTTGGAGATGTGGCAATAATGCTGAACTATGACCACTCTACCCAAAAAGTTCATTTTGTTTCATATACTCCTCTTGACAATTCTATTTGTTCACCCTCAAACAATTCTCTTCTAACACAAACAATCTTTCTTTAGCTTACCTTTACCTTACTGCCTCCAAATCCTTTCAAACCTATTTGCAACAACTTTCTCTTCCCAAAAACACTTATTTAGTTACAGACTCTTTGATCTCAGACAAGTTCCTCAAACTCCCACTTTTTCTGAAACTCTATGCACTCCAAAGGCCCTAATTTAGAGTCAAACACTAACTCTTTTAGCACTCCTGAATAGCTGCTTGCTGACAGATTTGCTGCCAACACACCAAAAAAAGGAGTTCAAACCAAAAAAAAAAAAAAGAAAAAGTACAAGCTGGTTGCCTTAAGGGTCAAACCTGTGGCCAGCACTATACTCAAGAACTTCCTGGTAGAACAGCATATCCATAGAGACCCTCTAGCTAACATGCTGGCTTTAGACCCAAACCCCAAACCTTTTATCCTGACAGGCCACTTTACCCAGAAAAGAAAAGACCAGTTCATTAAAGAATATAACATGGGTTTCCTTCATGAAGTTGAGCTGAATGTCCTTGCTAACATGATGGCAGAGCAGAATGAGGCCTTTGCCTAAAAAATGGAGGAAAAGAGGTATTTAAAACCTGAACACTTCTTGCTCATAGTCTTTTCAACAGTCCTGTATATCCCTTGGACTGAACACAACTGACCCATTCTACCAGCCCTAGAACTAGAAATCTGCAAAACTATTCATGACAAAATCAATGCTAGAGTGTATGAACCCTCTAACTCATTCTACAGGTCCTGATAGTTTTGCATCCTCAAAAAGAATAGCAAGCTGTGGGTAGTCCACAGTTTAAAACCACTAAATAGGGTTACAATCTGACATTTAGGAATACCACCCTTTCCTGACCACATTTCTGAGTCCTTTGCTGGCAGAATCTGTGGGAAAATCCTGGATGTATATGTCAGCTATGACAAATGGTTAATTTATCCTTCTTTCAAAGATTTGACCACTTTTCAGACACTCTATAGTGCTTTGCAGCTAGTCATGCTGCTGATGAGATGGTGCAATTCAGTGCCCATCTTCCATGATGATATGTTATTCATCCCTTAAACCTGGAACCCCTCTGTATGTGTTATTTTTTACTAACAATGTAGGTGTCAAGAGACTCAAAGACTGGAAACTGATCAACAGTGTTTCCATGATTCATCCTGCCAATCTAAACATTAAGTTAGCATTATGAGAATTCTTTGAAGTACTCAATTGAGTGCTTCAGAGGATGAAACATGCAGGTGGCACATTCTCAGGCCACAGACTAATCCTCTGTGCCAAAAGGTTCAAAATTTTTGGTCATATTTGTGCTCCTGACAGACATGTTCCCAATGAGAGTGCTCTCACACTCTTGAAACATTGGAGTGTATGCAACAATATCAGTAAAGTTTGAGGCCTTTCTGGGTACTCTTGGAGTACTACATATCTTCATTAAAAATTTTGCTCATCATGCTCATCACATTCAAAAGCTAATCCAAAAAGATGCACCCTTTGAATGTGGTGCTTTATAGATTGCTGCTCAAAGAGACCTAGTTCAAGCACTAAAAGAGGCAAACCCTCTGGTGTTGCTGGATTATTTGTCCTCAGATGGCATTGTTCTAGTGGTTGATATTTCTTACATTGCTGTCAGCTTCTTTCTTTGCCAGGTTCAAGCTGACTTTGGGAAAAATTAGCAGTATAATAGGTTTGAATCCATTACTCTTAACAATCAGGAATCCTGCTATAGCAAACTGATACTGGATATGGATTATTCTAGGCATTCCAAGCCATGAGAATTTACCTCATCAGTGTGCAAAACCTCATTGTGGAAGTTGACATGAGATACATAAAGAAAATGGTTGCAAACTCTGATAGCAAACAGATGCTCTAGGGACCCTCTATATATATGGACCTGGCATTAAAAATGGATCCCACAGCAATCTCCCAAATAACAGTCAGTGAATAAATCAAAATCTGAAAAAGCCAATGAATAGGGTTGACTGGGAACAGTCAAAATTTAAAGAGGAAGGTAGAATGATAGGCCCTGGAAGTGGCTAAAGACAGAAAGCATCAAAATGCACACTCCTGACATGACATGACTGATCACATGCTGGGAGCACATGACTTTCATTTTTGCATTCCATTCTTATTTACATTCATATTCTATGCAAGCTGAACAAGCAAAGCCAACCATTACAAAATATGCATTATAAAGACTATTTCCTTACCATTTTGTTCTTACTATATAAGTTTTCCATTATCCACATTAGCAAGACACTCCTGACACAAGACAGTCTCACTCATAAATATTACTGATACAAAGACAAAGTGCTTATAAATATTACTGATACAAAAAACAAAGCACTACAGACTATTCCATATTATAAAACATTACTTACTCATTGATATATAAGTACTACCAAAATTGGACTACAGATGAGAAATCAATCACCTGGACTGCTGCTCTCCTGCCATGTACAACCCTAATCTAGGGCTCTTACCTCCCAAACATTGCCTTTGGGCTAAGTTTTGCTGCTGAGCAAATACCCGTCACTAGTGTGCCACCCAGTCTGCTATTAAGCTCCATGTACTGCTGATTGTCAGCAGTGTTCCCCTCCATTACTAGTACTTGACATTGGTCAACTCCCTTTCCATTAAGTCTCCTTTGCTACATTTTCTAATCCCTTCCCAACTCTCTTCCTGACTGTACATCCTTTTAAGTAGTACTCTCAAATCTCCTCTTCCAAGCCAATCACCTTCCCAAATCCCCTTTCTAAAGTATCATTAATTCCCTTCTCTTTGACACTCTAAGCCTTGTTCCCACTCCTGATCTCATTAAACATGGTTCTAGTACCTAGAAACCTGCTGGGACAAGCCCTTGCAACACACACTAGTGCACACCCTATACAGGCCTGCTTGTCTGGATTGTTGTGTCCTTTGTAGTTGCCTTGCTTCTCTGCCCCTGCATGCATCTAGACCAGTCTGCACACTATCATGTGCAGCATGCTTCTCCAGCCTCTGCTGGCTTCCTCTATTCTCCTAAGGGAGGAGGTTCAGTAAGCCAGGCATCATATGCAACACCATTCTAAAAGACAATGCCTTGATCATCAATCAGAGAATGCCAGTATTCTCTAAGGTCTTTAATACAAATGCACTGCAGCACAACATAGTCATTCCATGACACAGCATGTCTAGTGTATGTGTGGGCTATCTGCAAACCTGGAATTTGGTCCATTACTGCCTCTGATGCAGCTTCAGTTGAGGATGCATCTATGGTCAGCAGTTCTCTGGACATGACTTGTTTATGTCATGTCATCACAGCCTATCAAACCACAAAGTCCTAGGCAGGCTGTCAAGGTGCATGCCATAAATGCACCACCTAGTGAATCAGTGTAGAGGGAGGCAGGGTTACTGCTCCCAGGCTTGCAAGCCTCATTCTTGTTTCCATTAGAGATAATCTGTTGCCTCCTGCTCTGAAAAAAAAAACAGATACAGCTCAATGAACCATACTAAATTAGTAGGAACAGTATTGTCCCCTAAGAATCACCCTAAATGGCCACCTATTTGTTGGCCTAGGCAATGAGGTGATTCTGAGTTGTTTTTATGACTATATTCTGGTTTTTTTAGAAAGAAGCATGCAACAGTTAAATATGTTGGCTGCTACATCAGCCTCCTCTAGGATGAGCTTTATTCTGAGTACTTCCAGTAGCTTCAAACCACTTGAATTTAGGTTGAACCTACAGGGGGTCTCAGGCCAATCCTCTGCTTATCTGAGGACAATGCTTATCACAGTAGTTGATGGCATCTTATTCACCCTCATTGACTGAGATACCTCTCCATCACTGCAAAAAACAGCTGAAACTCCTCTGGCCTTAATCATCCAGGATTCTAATCATGCTCTCATTGCACAAAATACTTGATTCTAGAACACTGGAAATTTTACTGGCATGTGAGGAGCCTGCTTCATTGCAGGCTCACTTTCAAGCTTGATTCATTCCAAAGAGGTATCCAATACTCCTTTAACAAAAATTTCTCTCGTTGATTGTAGGTGGAATGGAGTTGGGGCTGGGAATCCTCCCAGAATCTGAAAAGAATCATCACCAGTCCATTGTTGGGATGCAATAGCATCTGCATTCCTTTCTGATACCACCTTGTTATCCTGAATAACTGTGGTACTCATCAATATACAGTCTAAGTAAACATTATCTAACATTTAAAGTTTTTAACCACTCAATTCTTAACTTGTTAATCAATGCTGGGTGACTTAAAAAAATGTAACACAAGTTGTTACTGAATTGCCACTTACTGTTCACCCAGTATAAGTTAGACCAGTTATTGATTCTGCTACACTAGTGAAGTAGGGGCAAAGCTGCTGTTGTATTATATAATATAGAGTATTTAAATGGGCATCACTGAAAAGGTGAATATTAAATAGTAGTATATTAATTATAATTATTCAATAATTATAATCAATATATGCTAACATCTGTTACTATGTTACTATTGAGATATCTACCTATGCTATGACATAGCTATGGACACAATCAGTGAGAAAGTGCCATGGTAGACCTAATGAGAAATGCCTAAATATATACTAACTAGAATGGGCAAGTGGGGTAGCATCAAAACTCCTGTTCCACCACTGTGTTTGAAATACACTTTGCTGCGCAGTGATCAATACGAAATAGGTATGGCTCAAGGGCACATGGTGTAGTTGGTTATCACGCCCGCTTAGCATTTAGCGGTTGCGGGCGGTGTCTGGTTCAATTCCGGGTGTGTCCATCCATATGTAGCTTGATAGTTGCTTCTTTTTAAATATATCATAAGGACAATGTACATTGTTTGATAGAGGTTCTTCTTTGTTGCACACCTCTTCACGGTTTACACTTTCTTTGCGCGATTTTGAAGATGTACATTGCCTCAACCATCACATCCACCAAATCAACGCATGACATCTCTGTTCTCGTTCTTGTGTCCAGCGATGTCGAGGGCACTATCCACTCGCGCAAACTTATAGCACGACCCTCTCATTACCACGTATGTTTCCGTTTATGATCGCGTTTTCCTCCACTAGGGCTCAGGCTGACGGTTCAGCAATTTTAATCAGGATCTTGTCGTCGCAGCGCGTAAAATCTTTAGTTTAAAAAACGACGCGACGCTGGTCTTTGGGACGTCGACTCTCGACGTGTGCCGTGGAGCTTGGGTCGAGATTGACGAAAGCGCTTACGAGCCGCTCCTTGAATGCTTGGATGAGGTCATCGTAAAGCCAGGTGCACCTCGCCAAGACGTCGTCAATGATGAGGCTGGTACGTTCATTTTCTTCCTGCTCTGACATGCTATTTTTTGACACCGTTCGTATCGCGCGCGCGTAGTTGAAACAGCCAAGGGCAAGACGCGTGAGATAGACTCCACGCCAAAAGGACGCCAAGATCTTCAACTTGACGCGTCTGCATCGGCTGTAGGTCGAAGCGATACCCTCACTCCTTCCCCCCATACCAGAGACGAGCTTGAAGCACGAACGCGAGCCGAACCTCCAGCAACCAAACCCTCTTCCTCTCCGCTTCATCCCAGATCCAAATTCATATCCAAAACCGAACTGGCGCCTAATGTAGCGCCTAAAACTACCAAGTCGCGTCTTCTAACTCGGCTCGATGAAATGGCTAATAAACAGAAATTGAAACCACTGTCTAATACTCGTCAGCACAAGCCAGAACCTCCACTCGAGCCCAAGCCCGAACCTGAACGCGCCGCCCTCGAGGTCGAGGAAAAACCTAAACCTAAATTCAGACCGGCGTCTGCTACTCGTGAAATTAAGAAAGAGCCAGAACCAGAACCAGTGCTCAGACCTGAACCCCCAAGAACTCGCCAGCGCAAGCCCCAGCCAAAGCCTGAGCCCGCTGTGGAAGACGAGGAGCCAGGAGAGAAAGACGAGGACGACCCTGAACCTCCCTCCTCCGCGAAAACCGAAGAAGCTTCAGACACTGGTCGGAAGGACGACGCCGAAAACGAGGACGACAACTTTTGGCGATTTGGAACCCAGAGCGTTGGGCCTAGCTCGGGTGCAAGTCGTCAACAGCAGGAATCGGTTCCTCAGCCCACGAACCCGCCTTTAAATTCGAAGTTGACGAGGATGGGTACGACGATTCATGTTGAGGTGAAGGAGATGGAAGAGAAGAGGAAGATAAAGGATGCTCGTGCGAGGTGTACGTCTTAAAATTTCGAAGCTTACTCTTTCTGAGCGTGTTGGATTGCAGTATCAACTGTCAACGCAACGCAACTACCTCGCGCATCTGAGCGCGACCTTGCACACTTTGACCAAGGTAATGTCATATCTTGCGTCTTTCGCTCCATGTCTGTACCTGTTGACGCGGTAGTATAGACCCAGACGTGCGCTTCATGGTGACGGTCCTCGGACCTCGCACGGCTCAAGGTGCAGACTTCAGAACACGCGGTGGGCACAAGATCAAGAAGGTGCTCGAGAGCGTGTGCAGGACCTTTAAATTGCCTTCCGAGCGGTACGTCCTTTTTCCCCATCTCTGTCCTTCCCAGCCTTCTTCTGGGGCCTGGTGCATTCTTACTCCTTATACATGATTGGATTTTACAATGTCCATACACAGCTCTCGGCTCGTTCTTGAAGACGATTCGCGGGAGGTAAAGCAGTATTACTGCGATCCCGAGGACACAGTAGGCTTGTGTGGCATTGACGCCGACTCGCGGCTCTTGGTTCAGGTGGATGGCATGTCTGGTGAAGAGCTAAGTAAGTATGGTGAGGAAGAGGAAGATGAGGATTGATGAACGATTGATGTAGATGATGAGGGAATCTTGTCAATTTCTTGCATTGTTGAGCCGTTCAAGTTGAATTGAATCTCGTCCATTGATTTTATCTCAGCTTTTGAGAACCATTTTAAGCCATTGCTCCCAACTCACCCAGTCTTCCTCTGTGTGTCGCGCCGTCATTGCTTCAATTCGGATCGATGCTTCCACCTCCCAACTCAGTCTTACTCGGCGTGCTCCTGTAGGGTCGCGATTGCTTCAATTTCTAGCGGTTCTTCTGCTAGATGGCAATGTCTTTTCTCATTTCTGACTTTTGCACTGCATGATCCCAAAGTGCTGAGGCGAAGAGACACTCTTGCTCAGACAACTGGATTACCACCAAGATGAAAAAGGTTCAGAACACACACAGACACCACACAGACACACACACATATATATATATTGCTTAACAACATATGCAGGAGCTGAATGAGAAATCATCTACTCCTCATGACGTCTTCTATAAGGAGATCGATTTGACTGCGTGACATTGCCTGGACTCGGAACCAGGTTATCAGGAGTGGGTTCAGTGAGTTTCAGAACTGCAGCGTGATAGTGCTGTCTCATTCTAGACTCATCCTCTTCGCTCATGCGACAATGCACATGCCAATTTGGAACATATTGCATACCACCGATGGTCAACCATCGTCGGCAATCCCAGATATTGAACCCTGGGCCCGAAATCTTGAGAGTAACCGTCTCGAGTACGGGAAAGCGAATCAAGGGCTGTGGTGAATACAAAGGTCTGATGTCGACTGCGGATGCGATAGTTAAGGACCTCAGAGCAGTCATTTGGATGCTTTGCACCGAGTTAAACGCGAGTGGGAGTGCCACACGCACATCCCACAGGTTGTGACTTCTGATGGTCCAGAAAGCTACGCTTTGGAGAATTTCACTTCCCCAATACAAGAGTGTTCTGCAGTCGTCCATGGATAGCGCACTGTGAATCGTGAGATTGGTAAGGGTCGAGAATCCCGGTTGATCTTGTAAAAACATCGGGAGCTGTTCCCTATTGCCTGTCCACGTAAGGGTCTCTAGATTGGGCGGGAGGAGGACCTCTGTCGTGACGGCAAGAATACCTGTTCCGTTAGTCACCTCGGCTAAGCGAACGGACGGAAGTTGTATGGTAAGATTGCTGCAGCGCTGATCGTCCCCGAGGGCCTTCCAAACGGAATCCAACTGCTTGGTCAATGAGCCCAGGTTCTGACTTGACCAAGGAATATTCTCTGGGAGGAACACATCGACAGGGAATCGGTAAGGAAGTTCTCGGAGGCTGTTCACTATCGTTTGGTTGCCCTTCGTAATGCTGTCGAAAATCGCCTGATATCTACATATTACAACCCGCAGGTCGAGACTTGGCTCGTCATCTTTGTGAGTCAATCGGACGATTGTGGTGGGATTAAATCTTAGATTAGGCAGCTTGGTTTCGCGAAGGGACGATGATGGATCATCGCTATCTCCACTGCGATCAGGTTCCTGGCTTGGAGAAGGTGCAGTGACGGAGGGCTGAGAAATGGGTCTTCTTGGAGAAGAAGAGTATCTTGTACGAAAAAAACAGATTAAGATGATGGCTACCACAACTGAGGCTGTCGAAAGCGCTGCAGGCACCGAGGTTTTGGCTTCGAAGCCTAGACTGGAAGAAGCGTACATATCGAATCTCGATGTTCTACCTCGATCGATTGCCACTGTGAGAAGCTTTCACGCAATGATTATCGTAGAATACTTACGTTGTTCAGATTAACAGAAGTTACGCTCGAAACTTTGAAGCTTGGGTTGCCAGCGACTGAATCGGACTATGAAAGACGGGATCGAGTGGTTGCTCTACTGATTTTGGCCTTGAAACAACACTTGATTATTAAATACTAATCTTTTGTGACGGAAAAAATGGAATGACAATAGGAAGCAGGCAGCTGGACCGGTAGCCGTGTGAACTTGAAAGAGAGGGACACAATAAAAGGACAAAAGCTTTGACCACAACTACCCAGTGCGCAAGTCACAATAAGATCAATGGATCAAATCAAGTGACCCGAAAGGAAATCTGACAATTGTTTGATGGAAGGTCAATCTTTTTGTAGTTAAAGTCTGTAGGTCCCAATACAATAGCGGGGAGAGGGGGCTGTGCTACGGCCACCAGGTTCGTGAATACCGGATGGATATGGGAGCCGTTTCCAAGAACAACCATGCCAACCATTCATTAATCATGCGTGCAGATCCTATATACATACGCAACCGTGACCCCACTGGCAACATCAAGATTCAAAAGATGGATGTTGAACAATCGTGAAGGATATTGCATCGCAAGTTAACTGTATTAGTACCAAGCGGACTCGTCTCGAGAGATTCAAATTGAAAGTTAACTCGAGATTCAAATTGAAAGTATGTTAAAAGATGAGTACAGTATGGAAATGACATAGACTGGTTACTGAACCAGCCACAATCAACGGAAATGCGATGCACCACAGGGACCTTTTGCACCATAGCAATGATAATAGAAATAAGAGTTTCTAAAACTTGAGTAACATTCCATCTTCCGCAAGGTATTCGAAGCCCTCTTCTTCAAGCGGGGTCTTCTCCCAACGCCATACTTGCAAGTGGCGAAGTACTGCGAGACCGTCCACCTTACACCTCCGAGATCTAGACTGAGCCATAGCAGGGAGACTGCCTGTAGGATTCTTGCACCATTGAAGGGAAAGTCTCTCGAGGCGTGGCAAGATCATTTTTCTTGTCTTCGTTACGGGTAAGGAACCGTGTAAACTTTTCTGTCACTGTGGGTTCCTCAGTAAGACACCTGAGGCTCGACATGGTTGAAGAAGAGAGGACTTCTAGCAAGATGTCCTCGGCGATCGGGTCACCTGATATATCATAAATGTGGATCTAGTCAAGAGTTCCATGAACACGAAGGGATCAGGTGGGTGCAACCAAACTCTCCTTTATTGGACGTGTACAGAGACCAGAGAAGGGAGGATGAG